TCATTATGTACCCTGGTTGTCCTGGAACTGGTTGGCCTTGAGCTCACAGAAACCTAGCTGTCTCCCAAGTGGTGGGATTAGAGGTATACACCACCATTCTGGCTTCTCTTACTATTTTTGAGACAGGATCTGCGTACTCATGGTTGTCCTGGAACTTGCTATATTGACCAGGCTGGCTTTGAACTTGCAGTCCTCCCGAGTGCTAGGATTATGGGTATACGCCAACACACCTAGCCACGTTATAGTTTTTAGTCCATATTTGTTTTCTCACAAATGTTTCTGCTTGGGTTTTGTTTTGTTCTTGTTTTCACATGATTTTTTAAAAATTTATATGTATATGTGGGGAGGAGGTGTTTCATGTGCTCATGAGTACAGGTGCCCACCGAGGCCAGAGCAGATTTTGGAGTTCCTAGAATATAATTATAGGCAATTGTTGCTACCCAATATAGGTGCTGAGAAAAAACACTCAGAACATCTGGAAGAGCAGCAAATACTCTTAACTGCTTAGCCATCGCTCCAGCCCCTTTACATGATTTTTAGAGTTTATTCTCTTATAATTCTATACATGTATAAAATGTATCTTGTTCATTGCACTCAAACACATCCCTTTCTCCCCTTTTTTTCCCTCCTAACTTTATAATTAGCTTGGGTCTGTTTCTATTCATTTTGATCTTAAAGGCTTCCGGTACCTTAGAATAAGAGTAGAGATAATGGACTCCCTATCTTGTTCCTTGTATTAGTGGAAATGCTTTTATTTTTTATTTTTATGTTTTATGTATGTGTTGGTGTTTTACTTGCATAATTGTCTATGCACCATGTGTGTGCCTGGTGCCTGAGGAAGCCAGAATAGGGCATCAGATCTTCTGCAATTAGAGTTAAAGATGGTTATAATTAGCCATGTGGGCACAGGGAACTGAACCTGGGTTTCCTGAGAGCAGTGAGTGCTCTTACCTACTGAGCCATCTCTAACCCCTGCATATGCTTTTGAGTTTCCCCCACTTAATACAATGTTATTATCCTTTATCATGTTGTGATGTATTCCGTCAGGAATTTTAACATGAGAGATGTTGGATTTTGTCAAATAGCCTTTCTTCGTACCCAACAATATAATAATGTAATTTGTGTTCCTCTGTAAATTTATGTGATTTATAATGTTTAATTGCTTATATTGAACCATCCCTGCATATTTGAAAAAAAAGTCAATTTGATCATGGTGCATTATTATCTTTTTGATGCGTTTCTGAATTCAGTTTGTATTTACATGGTTGCATTGTTTGAGGCAGGCCCTCCCTCTCTATGTAGCTCTGGATGTCCTGGAACTCACAATGTAGACCAGACTGATCTTGAAGTAACAGGGATCTGTCTATCTCTGTTTCCTACATGTTGTGATTAGAGGCCCGTGTGACCACATGTGACTGACTGATTTGGGTGTTTTGAGACATTGTCCCACTCTCTAGCCTCCAATTCATGGCAGTCCTCCTGCCTCAGACAATCCTATGCTGGGATTCCGCGCATTTGCCAATATGCCCAGCTACAGTATTTTCTTTTAAAAAGATTTTATTTATTTATCCATTCATTCATTTATTTATTTATTATGTATACAGTGTTCTGTCTGCATACATTCCTGCATGTCAGATGAGGGCACCAGTCTCATTACAGGTGGTTGTGAGCCACCATGTAGTTGCTGGGAATCTAACTCAGGACATCTGGAAGACAGGGAGTGCTCTTAACCTCTGAGCAATCAATCCAGCCCCCACTACAGTATTTTCTTTACAGATGAAATTGTGGCTCTGAAACGGCTAAAGATGGAGAAGGAGAAGGAAGGCTTCCCCATCACCTCACTGAGGGAGATCAGCACCATTCTCAAGGCCCAGCACCCCAATATCGTCACTGTCCGAGTAAGGCTCAGTCTCCTCACTTGGCATGTCCTGCCTGTGTGGGAGTCTACCTCTTTTAGGGACAAGGGAGAAGGGTCTATGACATCATAGGGTCAAGTGTTAGCACTTCCAAAGATAACAGCTTCCCAAGAAGGCTTAGTAGGTCTTTGCTACCTATGATACACAGCATGTATCTTCAATTTCAGTTTTCCGAGAACCAGTGCTTGTCAGGGTGGGGTTGCAGGGAGGAGCCATGCCCAAACCCATAGGTCGCTGTTGATTCCTAGGAAATCGTGGTGGGAAGTAACATGGACAAGATCTACATTGTGATGAACTATGTTGAGCATGACCTCAAGAGCCTGATGGAGACCATGAAGCAGCCCTTCCTGCCAGGTATGGCTGCATGCCACCCGAGGCGGCCAGTGCTGTTCAGTCATGAGATGAGGGTAGAGCACCCTGTTCTCTGGTATGTTGTGGGGGATCTCTGAGCAAGGGGAGGAATAGTGCCTTTCTAGTGATCCTGTCTGTATGAGTGGTGGCCATAGTGAGCTCAGAGCCACCCTGGGCTGGAAATGTTCCTGGATGAACTTGCCCCAAAAGTCTAGTTGCTACTAGATTACATAAATAACCCCAAGTCTCTGGGCCCTTTTGCAGGGGTGTTGGGAACTCATGAGGTAAAGGAAGCATGTGTGTGATCTCATTACTCTCACAGGGGAGGTAAAGACCCTGATGATCCAGCTGCTGAGTGGGGTAAAGCACCTCCATGACAATTGGATACTGCACCGTGACCTTAAGACCTCTAACCTTCTGCTGAGCCACGCTGGCATTCTCAAGGTGAGCCCCTGTACTTTCCCACCTCATCCCTGGAAACCCCTCCACAGCCTGGTCTTACAGGCCACACTGTTTACCTTGTTGTTATAGGTGGGTGACTTTGGGCTGGCTAGGGAGTATGGCTCACCCCTGAAGGCCTACACTCCCGTTGTCGTAACCTTGTGGTATCGTGCCCCAGAACTGCTGCTTGGTGCTAAGGTGAGTTTGAAGAGGGGTCTGAGAACCTCCCTTGCCCCATAGTGTCCTCAGTCAAACCTGTGGCTGACACTGATGTGGGCCTTCAGGCATCTGACCATGTCGTCTCTTAGGAATACTCTACAGCAGTGGACATGTGGTCAGTGGGCTGTATCTTTGGAGAGCTGCTGACACAGAAACCTCTCTTCCCTGGGAAGTCAGACATCGATCAGATCAACAAGATTTTCAAGGTGAACATTAAGGCTGGCCTATCTTTCTAGAAAATGACCTGCAATGTGTCTGCAGAACTGGGATCCAGGCCACACTGTGGCTTTTGGTGGCCTTTCTGATAAAAGTGACATGGGTACCATGGAGGGCATGTTGAATTCAGACATCCTTGTTTTTCAGGACCTGGGGACTCCCAGTGAGAAGATCTGGCCTGGCTATAATGACCTCCCAGCAGTCAAGAAGATGACCTTCAGCGAGTATCCCTATAACAACCTCCGCAAGCGATTTGGGGCTTTGTTATCAGATCAGGGCTTTGATCTCATGAACAAGTAAGTCTAAGGATGGCACAGTGTGCAGCCACTGGGTTCTGTGCTGATTCTCCTGCAGAACTGCCCTGGGGTCTGGAAGCCCCCGAATAAATAGCAGGTTTTAGGAGATGCTGAGTCCCAGAGGTTCTCATCTTCCATCTCAACCAACAGGCTGGTCTCTGTCTGTGTTGGCCACGTGTGCCCTGATGCACACAGCAGGTCCCCACTGTCCTGTGCCATTCTCTTCAGGTTCCTGACATATTACCCTGGGAGGAGGATCAGCGCAGAAGACGGCCTGAAGCACGAGTATTTCCGAGAGACTCCCCTCCCCATTGACCCGTCCATGTTTCCCACGTGGCCCGCCAAGAGTGAGCAGCAGAGGGTGAAGCGAGGCACGAGCCCACGCCCCCCCGAGGGCGGCCTGGGCTACAGCCAGCTGGTGAGGGGCATGACTAGTAGGGGTTCCCATGGGGGAGACTCGGTAGGGACACAATCCTCATGGCTATTTTGCTGCTTTGCAGGGTGATGATGACCTGAAGGAGACGGGCTTCCACCTCACCACCACCAACCAGGGAGCCTCAGCTGCTGGCCCTGGCTTCAGCCTCAAGTTCTGAGGTCAGATTGACTGACCCTGGCCAGCTAGCTGGTGACAGGCAGATCTGCTGATTCAGGACAACCTTGTTTTGCTTCGTTTTCTCCGTGAAGTTTGTTTTGGGTCAGGTTATAAATTTGTAGAATTAAATCACATTTTTCCTTCTGGAAAGGAAAGAGTTTTCAGAGGTGTCTAACTTGCCTGGTGAGGTGGGGTGGGCATCTGTAGGTGCCAGAATAGGACCCTGGGCACAGTAGGACCCAGGCTGGAGCAGAACTGAGTTGTCTGCTTCTCAGTCCTGGAGGTTGGTGTGGTAATTGTTTTGTTTATGATCTAACGAATCATAAAATATCACACTGGCTGTGTGTGATGGGTGAGGCAGCCTGCTTCTCACTGGGGTATCTAAACAAGCCCCATCCACACAGACCTTGGCCCTCAGAACCAGGTATGTGACACCTTCACCCACAGTGGGTTTTATACATGAGGTTGTTGGGTGTCTAAGTAGTAAAATATTCTTGGAGGAAGCTTCTCTGTGTCCTTTTCTTTTTTCTTTTTTTTCAGCCTGCTGGCTCCCAGCTGAACCCTGTAAGTGTCTCTGGGATGGGGAGAGGCTAGCTGCAGACTTTGGGGAGCAGACTGAGATTATAGGATTGGGTACTCTCTTGCTCTGACTCACACATGCCAAGCCTTTCCTGACCTCCTAGCTCTTTCCTCCCTTCACGCATCCCACATCACCTCCAATGTGTCTAAGAAAGGTGTTGGCCTGAAGGAAAGAAAAAAAAAAGTTCTGTGACTACTTGGGGCCTCTATTTTATGCCTCAGCTGGTCCTCGGCCTCTTCCTTATTCACACTGAAGCCTCACCTAGGGCCCGTGCACATTCTTCCCTCAGCACACCCTAGGTGGTGCTGTGACCCCACTGCTCTGGGGAGTACTGACTGACAGGTAGGCAGAGGTGGCCTTCCTTCTTCCCATGAAACAGCACAGAGACATCAGAGGAAAAGCGCTTTATCTGCTGACTTCCAGCACAGAGGCTGTTGGCAGGCTCAGCTCCGCACTCGGACCCGCCAGGAGTAGGTAGTGAGAACTCGCTGGTGCCGGCGCACCACACAGGTGTAGGTGCCTTCATTGATTGCGTTGGCAATGATGCTCAGCTGTGCCTCACCCAGGTCCAGATAGCCAGGGTAGGAGAATTCCAGGGGCTCCTGGTCCTTGTACCAGCTGCAGGGGGGCGGGGAGGTCCTTCACCCCTACCTATGCCAAGCCCCCAGGATATACCCGCCAGCATACCCAGGCAGCCCCAGCCCCTCTAGAAATGCCTGCCCCCTCCTGGTTACTTACTATACTTTGCCTTTCTTATGTAGGATCTTCTGCCCACAGTGGAAGGTCATGTTCCTCCCTTCTTTCACTAACCTTGTTTTCATTCTGGTGGGTGGTGTGGTGGTGGCCACAGTAGGGAATGGGAATTCTGCTCAGAGAATGGTGAAATGCCATGTCAGTACTTCTTCCCCATCAAACCAGGCCCAAGTGGAGGGAGACTTTGGCTAAGAGACCTCACCCCCACCCTAACCCCACTGAGCCTTCATCACCATAGCAGAAGTCACAGCTTCTGGGACAGAGCCTCTTCATGAGCCTCTGGTGGGTGTCACAAAATCCCTTTCGTGCCCAGGATGTACATCTAAATAGCCGGTCCAGGCAGCCTAACAGAGAGCAACATGGCTCAGGGCTTGCTTAGAGCCCTACTATCTATCGGCCCACCCACCTGCCCCGTTGTACCCACCGTAGAGTCGGTGTAATCCCCACAGCTCATCCTGGGACAGTGCCTTCCAGCCTCGCAGTGTGGCATTGATGTGCATGAGTGCTTCGTGTTGCTGTGAGTGCATCAGCCCCAGTGCATGGCCAATCTCATGGGCCGCCACGTGCACCAGGTCTGTGAGCCATACGCCTGTGGGCCCCTTGGCTTAGTACTTGGGAGCACTCAGCCCTTCCACTCCCAGTCTTGTTCCAGGAGGCCCAGCACTGATTGGGGAGCCCAGCTGCAAACCACCCTTAACCCACAGCCAAGGAAGATAAGTTTGTTCCCAGCCTAGGCTGTGAGCTTGGCCCTCAGGAATGCAACTCCAGCTCCCTCTCCTGACTTGGGGGGTGGGGGGGGCTGAGGCCTGTGAGAACCATAATTCCTTTCAAATATTCACTCAAGTATTCAGCCCCAGGAAATTCTTACTGCCCCAGAGCCCTCTGTAGCCCACGTGGTGGAGAGAATGGGGGCCCCCAGGAGGAGGCCAGACCAAGGAGTTGGATCACCTTTCTTCCAGCTGTAGCGTGTGGGGCCTAAGACCCAGTACTCGCTGTCATCAAAGTGAATGCCACCATGGGGTGGGAAGAAAGCATGGGCCAGTTCCCCTGTGGGACCATCAAAGCAGTGGTGCAGAGCAGAGACCAAGCAGTCGGTGTGGTTGGTTGGGTAGAAACCTAGGGAAACAAGGCTGCAGTAACACCTGTGGGGGCTGGGTGGGGTCAGGAGCACTTCTGTCACCCACCTATCTGGAGGTCACTGGGAAGATCAGGGGCCACTTCACGGAAGCGGAATGGGGAAACATCACTCCACATGCGAAAGGCGGCAGCCAGTCCCTGCCTTGTCTCTTCCGGGTTTAAAAGGTTCCGGGGAAAGGAGAGAATCCTGCGGGTGGGGATTGTGAGACTTAATGTCCCAGGCAGTGTCTGAGTTGTGGCATGACCCACCTGTCCTCGGGTTCAGGTGGCACCTGTATGTGAGGTTGAAGTGGTTCCAGCGCAGCCTGGCTGGTGTCAGCGTGTATCGGCGTCTTCGGGGCACCAGTATGGTCAGTGTGCTGGGGGCCTGGGCAGTGGACACCCCTGGAGGGTTTGGTGCAGCCACATTCCTCTTCATGGGGAAAAAAGTGGTTGTGAGGGGGCGGGAGAAGCAGTCTGTCGTTCCCGGAATTGTTGCAGAAAGCTGACTGTTAGACAATGGACTGCAGGAGGTTGTGGATGAACCCCTCCCGTAATGAGTTGCTTTTACCCCCACCCGAGCCAGGCACAGGGAGTGTTAAGAGCCCGTAGGAATGAGGCAGGCTTGGTGGAGCATGCCTTTAATCTCTGGAGGTGGTCTACAGAGCAAGTTCCAGGACAGCTAGAACTACACAGAGAAATCCTGTCTCGGCAAGTCAAAAAATAGAAATAGCCAATGAGAGTGACCGAGCTGGAGTTGGATGTTGGCTCCCACCAGCGACCACTGGACACACTGACTGACTCAGGATCAGTCCCAATCACCCCACTCACATATGGGCCCACTGATAGATAGACCCTCAGATGCAGACAAGCTCCCCGCGCCCGGCCCCCTTGACTGCTCACCGCTGCACTCCAGGCATTCTCTGCAGGCGCCCAAGGCCACTCAAGCAACATCAGCGCGGAGAGAAGGCACAACCCGCTCAGGACATCCCCGAACCAGTGTTGGTTCACACAAGAGGATCTACATGCTTAACTCAGTCGCAGAGGAAAACAACAAAACACCCATTCGGTTCAACAGCCACTCAGACGAGGGTTCTTTTTAAAGACAAAAAGGCTGGGAAATCTGGATTCGTCTCGGTGTTATTTTCATTAATAAGGGACTTACTTCTTCGTCAGGACAGATGTAATTCTTTGAGTTCCAGACCAGCCTGGTCTTCAAGAAGTAGTTCCAGGGCAGCCTCAAATCCACATAGAAACCCTGTCTCTAAAAAAGAAGAAAGAAAAGAAAAGAAGAAAAGTTGTTCAGCAAACTTCAGTTTTAATCCCAACACTCAGGAACTTGCCAGGCCAGTGCTATATAGTGAGACCATTTCTCAAACATACATATATGTGTGTATGTATGTATGTTTAGTAGGGTAAGGCCATCTCAGCATTTTGGAGCTGAGGCAGAAGTTTTCAAGTTGAAAGCCAACCTGAGCTACGTAACAGGATAGGTTTCAATAATTAGAAAGGCTATATATAAGAAAATGTCTTAATGATTCCTTTTTTCTTTTCTTAGTCAGATGACCGGGATTCCAAAAGGGATTCCCTTGAGGAGGGGGAGCTGAGAGATCACCGAATGGAAATCACCATCAGGAACTCACCATATAGAAGAGAGGATTCTATGGAAGACAGGTGAGAGAATGTAAGGTGGTGTAGTAGGCATCTTTAACCTGCAGGCCAAGGCCATGTGTGTCCCAGATTAGCTGTGAATACATTCCATGATTTGTGGTGAAGAGCATTTGTTGCTCTTACAGTGCATCCAGGTTTGATTCTTAGCACCATATGCTCATTATGGAAAACAACCATCTGTCAGTCTAGTTTCAGAAGATCTAATGCCCCCTTCTGACCTCCATGTGCACATATAGTACACATACATATATGCAGGAAAACATTCATACTCATAAATGAATGTATAAAATTTTGTATGTTTGGTTTTTGTGTTTATGTCTGATGACTTTGATTTTATATCATTTGTTTCCTTTCCTTGTCTTACATAATAAGTAAGGGAAATAAAATCAAGAGTTAAAATGGCATGTTTTTTTTTTTTTTTTTTTTTTTTTGAGCAGCTCAGAGTAAATTTTTCAGGGTCTTGGTTTTATAAAATTAGTTGAAGGTACTGTTAAATGAACTTTTGGCTTTGATAATGTTGATAAAATTACAGGACTTTTAGCAGTCTTAACTGAAGTATAAATGACTAAATGAATTACAGATAATGTGTGATCTCACACGTTCTTACTTGGCCATGAAACCATTACCACAATCAAGAAAATGAACAAATGGACATCCCCTTCCTTAAAGACAGACAATTTTGTTCTACAGACAAGGTTGATTTCTTATATTTTTCTTCTAAATCTTATAATAGCTTCAATTTCAGATTTCCTTAAATGACGGTTGGAGTTGACTTTATTCTGTTGGGAATATTTCTTTTCTTTGGGTATACCCTGGTTCTCTGCACCTGCCATCCTGGTGTGTCTCTCATCTGTTTCAGAGGAGAGGAAGATGATTCTCTGGCCATTAAACCACCCCAGCAAATGTCTCGGAAAGAAAAAGCCCACCACAGAAAAGATGAGAAGAGAAAAGAGAAGCGTAGACATCGTAGCCATTCAGCAGAGGGAGGTATGAGAGTCTTTGCTTTCTTTTCTTCCATGTGATAGTCACAGCTCTTTGTTTCTTCTGTCGTGATCTGCCTTCTTCAGTGTGTATCTAAAAGTGAAGATGAATGGAAATGTTAGCCACAAGCATAAACTCACTGTAGACTTTGGAATATCTTTCTTTTTATTTCTGATATGTGTACGTTTTCTTCTCTTTCCTTTCACGTTGTTTAGAAGTCATTTGTCTGTATATACAATTGCTCTCATTTAGTGAGTATAGGTGAAAATACCAAAAAAATTGATAATAATAATAATGGGTGTTGGGGTCAAGTCCAGCTAAGAGATTTGACTTGAGAGATTTGATCTTGGGCCTATACCAGGATGTGGTTTTTTATTTCTTAAGCAAGATCTTGCTGGGTAGCCCAGCCTGTCCATCAGCACTGGAGATGCTCCTCCATCAGCCTCCTAAATTCTGGGATTACAGACATTTTCTGCATACTTATCTTTCAAGGGGTTCTCAGGAGTATGAGGAAAACAGATCCTGAGACCTATTTAAATCTTATTATAACTGCAGTTACTAATATGTTTTTGTTGTTGTTGTTTTATTTTTGTGTGTGTGTATCTTTCAAAGTTTATTTCATGTGCATTTGTGTTTTGCTTGGGTGTATGTCTGTGTGAAAGTATTGAATGCCCTGAACAGAGTTATAGACAGTAATGAGCAGCCATGTGGATGCTGGGAATTGAAGTTCTCTAACACTTTCTAATATGGAGATATATATACACACACATACACAATAGTAGAGTCTATTAAAAGGAAGAATTTTGTTCTGTTTTGCGTATGAATGGTGAATTTTTTATGTTATGAAAATAATATGTCATGATATGACACTAAGAAAGATGAAAATCAAGACTATTGAGATAGCTCAGTGGATAAGAGCACTCACTTCTCTTGTAGATGATGTGGATTTGGTTCCCAGCACCCATGTTGGGCATCCTACAACCACCTGTAACTCTCATTCCAGGGAATGCAATATGCTCAGGCTTCCTAGGGCACCTGCATGCATGTGGTGCACATAAACTCATTCAAGCACCCATGTATGCCATACATATTTGGTTCAGAAGAGGACATTGGAGTCTTTCCCGCTGAAGCTACAGGTCATTTTGACCTTCCTGATGTGGAACCAAACACAGGTCTTCTCAGAACAGCAAGCATTCTTAGCTGCAGATTCATCTCTGGTTCCATTCTTTTTGTTTGTTTTTTGGGGGGTTTTGAGACAGGGTTTCTCTGTGTAGCCTTGGCTGTCCTGGAACTCACTCTGTAGACCAGGCTGTCCTCAAACTCAGAGATCAGCCTGCCTCTGCCTCCTGAGTGCTGGAATTAAAGGCATGAGCAACTGCTGCCTGGAATAAATTGAGCTTCTTTACATGATGCTCCTGTCTCGTTAGGGAAGCACGCTAGAGTGAAAGAAAAAGAAAGAGAGCATGAACGTCGGAAGCGCCATCGAGAAGAACAAGATAAAGCTCGCCGAGAATGGGAAAGACAGAAGAGGAGGGAAATGGCAAGAGAACATTCCAGGAGAGAGAGGTGAGACCTCATTAAAGACTTTTAATGCAGTGACTGTGGTGACTGAGAGACTTGGTTTAGAGTTATCAGTTGTGGGAAGGATCTTTCAAGGGAATGCTGAGATATATATTACTGACCTTTCTGTTCATTGTGACAAAATACCTCATAAAAGCCACCTAAGAAAGGAAGAACTTATATTTTGTCACAGTTTGAGGGTACAGTCCATCATGTCAGGATGGTAACAATATGAGACAGCTAGTTATATTACATCTGCTGTCAGGAAACAAAATAATGAATGCCGTTTCTTTCTACTTTTTATTCATTCTGGAACCCCAGTCCATTGAATGGTGATACCCACATGAAGGTGGGTCTTCCCACCTCAAAACAGTCTAGAAACTCCCTTACAGTTATGCCCTGAGATTTGTCTCCTTGGAATTTTCAGACGCTATCAAGGTGACAATATTTACTGACATGAATTACCAGATAGGAATTCAGGCATAAGTAAGTATTAAGAGTTCAGCCATGGGGCTGGAGAGATGGCTCAGCGGTTAAGAGCACTGACAGTTCTTCCAGAGGTCCTGAGTTCAATTCCCGGCAACCACATGGTGACTCAAAAACCACCTTGAATGAGATCTGGTTCCCTCTGCTGGCATGCAGGCAGAAGGCTTTATACATAATAAATAAATAAAAATCTTTTTTAAAAATCATTTTAAAAAAAGAGTTCAGCCATGTGTGAATCAGTGGAATTGGAAACTGAGGTACTGTGGGAATATTGGTGTTTTATGAATATTCTAACCTATAGCATTGGAGAGTGAGGCAGATTCCATCTTGTAAGAACATGGAGTCAGGCCAGTGGGTGGTGGTACATACCTTTTGTTTTTTGTTTTGTTTTGTTTTTTGAGACAGGGTTTCTCTGTGTAGCTTTGGAGCTCATCCTGGCACTCGCTCTGGACCAGGCTGGCCTCAATCTCACAGAGATCCGCCTGCGTTTCCCTCCTGAGTGCTGGGACTAAAGAGGTGTGCCACTAACGCCTGGCCGGTACATGCCTTTAATCCCTGGACTTGGGAGGCAGAGGCAGGTGGATGGCTGAATTCAAATCCATCCTGTAGTACATAGTGAGTTCCAGGACAGCCAGGGCTACACAGATAAACCCTGTCTCACAAGACAAAAAAAGAGTCTGGAGTCTGGCACTTTTTCATATTGTCTGTGTTACTATCCTGGAATTTGTGCTTTAGAGCAGACTGGCCTCAAAATCAGAAAGATCTGTCTGTCTCTGCCTCCTGAGTGCTAAGATTAAAGGCTTGTGCCACTATTACCCAGCAGTCGTGGGTTATTTTTAAGCTTTGGCAGAGTGAGGTGGAATCTGAGCCTGGTGATACACACCTTAAATCTCAGTATTGAGAAGGTAGAGGCAGGGAGACCTTTTTGAATTTGAGCCAGCTTGGTCACATAGCAAATCCAAGGCAGCCAGGGCTACATAGTGAGACCTTGTCTTTAAAATAAGAAGGCAAAAAAGGTGCAGCATTCTAGAAGACACTCAAGCCACATGTTCTAAATCCTGTCACAAGTCAGTACTTAGGAGAGGTTGGTGTTGATGTTTTTTTTTTTTTTTTAAATTTCCTTTCCTATTGCAGTAAAATACTGTGACAAAAGCAGATTTTCTAAGGGAGAAAGGGCTTATTTTTTTCACAGTTCCAGGTTGCAATTCATTGTTGCAGGGCAGTCAGAGTGCCTCGAAATTGAAGCAACTAGACATACTACATCCACAGTCAACAGCAGAAAATGATAAATTAATGCAAGCACATTAGCACTCAGCTCATTTCCTCCCCTCCTAACGATGCTCCTTTTATAGCTTGTGTTTGCTTGATTGTGTGTTCATGTGTGTATGTTTATTTTTGTGTGTGAATGTGGGTTTTCTGAGAGATCAGAGGTTTCAGATCTTCTAGGGCTGGAGTGATAGGTGTTTGTGAAACTGCCTGTGTGGGTACAGACTCAGATCATCTACAAGAACAGTAGGCATTCTTACCCACTGAACCATTTCTGGCCCTACCTTCTCCACTCTTACATAGCTAAAAATTCTCTGCCTCACAAATGGTGCTACCCACAGTAGGTGTATCATCTTACCTTGACTAACATACTCATGATAAAGCTGGGTGGCAGTGGTGGCTCACACCTTTCATCTCAGCACTTGGGAGGCAGTGGCAGGCAGATCTCTATGAATTCAAGGCAAGCCTGGTCTACAGAGTGAGTTCCAGGACAGCCAAGGCTACACAGAGAAGCCCTGTATTGAAAAATCAAAAAATTCATTGTAATCTTCCAAAGACATACGCACAGGCCAACCTAATCTAAACAATCCCTCACCAAGACTGCTTTATCAGATGATTCTTCATTGTGAAAAGTCAACCTTCAAAACTAACCATTACATGGTCCGTGGTTTATTCACTAAACAGGAGCTTCCTACAGATGTGTTTTATGCCAAACTCAGCTCTGACTGCTCTAGCTTAGGACAGCTAAGGAAATTGCTTAGAGTGGATGATCTAGTCTACAATAACTAGGAAAACAGATTGCTTGTGGTTTTCTGCATCATATTGGGAATAGACTCTGGATCTTCCCAACAAAAAGGGGCTACGTAATAAGAAAGAGCTCCCAAGGACCTGATAGTCTAGCAACTAGAACACCAGGCTCAAGACATTGTTCTGCAGCAGTCTCTATCAGCTTCCTCCCCAGGAGCAGTGTTTGTTCAGCTCCATACATATCCTCTGATCTGGACTAGGTTAGACTGAGTTCAGGGAGATTTTGGGAATTGGCCTGTTGAGTGGGAAGGAGAATGGTAATACTGACCATTCTAGCAGGTCGCACTAAACCCATACCATAAGGTAAGAATGGAAAAGTTAGCCAGGTGGTGGTGGCACACTCCTTTAATCCCAGCACTCGGGAGGCAGAGGTGGGCAGATTTCTGTGAGTTCGAGGCCAGAGTGAGTACCAGGATAGGCTCCAAAGCTACACAGAGAAACCCTGTCTCGAAAAACCAAAAAAAAAAAAAAAAAAAAAGAAAGAAAAGAAAGAAAGAAAGAAAAGAATGGAAAAGTTGTTGGTTCTGAATAAAGCACTTGATGTATTCAGCAGTCAGTCTGAGCCCAGTAGGGCCTGGTATAAACTCACAGTATGTGGAATGCCTGTACCCATTATTTCTTTTCTAGATACTTGGTGCCTTGTCCAACCAAGAGGGCTGGGATAGAAGTAGAACTTTGAAAATGAAATTTGAGCATCTGTGTAGTTTTTTTGGTAAGATAAAGCAGGAGAAGAAAATAGGAGAAATCATGGGGACCCATTTCTGGATAAGACTAAGCAAAGTCTACCTGTCTTCTCTCCCAAACCAATTTTAAAGCTGGTTGTAATTGAGTAAATTCACCGTGATTGTGCTTCAGAAATCCATTAAAGAATAATCTGAGACTGAAGGTGAGAGCAACAGAAACTGACTTAAAGGAAGATCATAAGTTCAGGGTCATTCTTGGCAACATAGTAAGTTTGAAGCCATTTTGGAATCCATGAGAACCTGTTTTTTTTGTCTTTCTTTTTTCTTTCTTTCAAAGATTTATTTATTTATTTATTTGAAAGATTTTATTTATTTAGTATACAGTCTTCTGCCCGCATGCCAGCAGAGGGCACCAGATCTCATTCAAGGTGGTTATGAGCCACCATGTGGTTGCGGGGAATTGAACTCAGGACCTCTGGAAGAATAGTCAGTGTTCTTAACCGCTGAGCCATCTCTCCAGCCCCCTCAAAGATTTATTTTATATTCGTATACGTATACGTACATGTGCACACATTATGCTAGAAGAGGGCATCAGATCCCACTGGAGATCTGTGGCTGCTGGGAGTTGAACTCTGGACTTCTGGAAGAGCAGCCAGTGCCCTTAACCACTGAGCCTTTTTCCAGCCTTCTAGGGTTGAGGGGTAATGGGGCTGGAAAGATGGTTCAAAGTTAAGAGCACTTTGTTGATCTTGCAAATGACCAGGGTTCATATCCCAGCACACACATGATGGCTCACAACTGGCTATAACTACAGTTCAACTACAGAGGATCTGATACCCTCTCTGATCTCCACAGCAACTAGGCATGCACATGGCACACAGACTTAATAGAGTAGTAGGAGTCACCTTCTTTGAAGAACAGGAAGAGAGAGGGAATTCCCAGTGGCCTGTGTGGGGGGCAGCATCCCTGTACCATCCTTCTGTAACAACAGTCATAGAATCAGAGAAAGTCAGAAGGTTAGGTTCCTAAATAGTGGTTGAGCGCTTCCCAGATTTGCTTACAAACCCGACATCCATATCTAAATAAGTCAGTAAGCCCCGAGCAGGGGGAACACAGAGTTGCCAGAAGTATCTGCACTTCCTGTCAGGATGTTATTTAACTCTACACCGTTTAGGAAAAATCTCAACTAGGAATTCTGTGTCTGGCACAACTTTTCTACAAAAGTGAAAGAAAAAGACAATCCATGGTAAACAGGCCTTGTGGACTTCATAGCTAACAAGCCTAGGAAGGGAGGAAGGAAGGAGGGAGGGAGGCAGGCAGGCAGGCAGGCAGGCAGGCAGGCAGGCAGACCTTCATGATGAGCTGTAGACTGGAAATGATGAATGTTCAGGTCAACAGCAGAATTTGTGCAAATGTCACTCGCAAGGCAGAGGCACGTGGATCTTTATAAGTTTGAGACCAGCCTGGTTTACATAATGAGTTACAGGCCAGCCTCAGTTACATTGTGAGACCCTCTCTCAACTTCCTACTTCCCCCGTAAATAGTGAAACCAGCCAGGCCTTGAAGTGCACTCTTATATTCCCTGCTCTTGGGGACTTAGGCAAAAGGATTACTGAAAGATTACAACCAGGCCAGGAGACTTAGTGAAACCCTAACAAACAAACCATGAATTTAAATTATATATCAAGTGTACATATTAAAATCAAAGAAGAAATTAAAACACAAAACTCTAGAAACACAGAACCTTTTGTGTATTCATAGGAACATGAAAAATGACGAATTTAACCACTTGGTCATGTTTCAGTGCCTAGTAAGTTTACTGCACTTCAGGTGATACCTGCCTTGTTTTCAAGCAACTAGCTCCTCTGCTGTCTCCATCATGTTCAAGCCCACACTGTCTCAGTCTGGGACAGGAAGTGGCCCAAGGTCCATCTTCCCAACTCCAGTGATGTTTCCCAGAAGGCCTCTCTACTACTACTTTGTGTACTCCTGATCTACTGGATCTAACCTGGGTTCTCTGGTATATGTAGGGATCTACATGCTGGGTTTTCCTAGAGCTGCCAACCAAGGCAATAGAACCAATGTGTTTGGAACCTGACAGATGGTAGTCTCCTCTTATACTTTTCTTTTCCTGCTGTGGCTCACCAGGAACTGCTTGATGATATGCACATACAGTTTCCACACTTTAGTAGCCATTTATGGATTTACAGTCTGCAAATACACTACATAAGTTGAGCAGAAATCAAACAACCTGGCTGAGAAAGAAACTTCCTGTGGGGTAGGTGCATGATGGATGACCTGGTGTGCTTTTTCCAGGGACCGCCTGGAGCAGTTAGAAAGGAAGAGGGAGCGGGAGCGCAAGATGAGGGAGCAACAGAAGGAACAGCGGGAACAGAAGGAGCGGGAACGGAGGGCAGAAGAGCGCCGCAAAGAGAGAGAAGCACGTAGGGAAGGTAGGAGGGAGGGACTGCCCTCTTTGGGGCCTCTACTTGGGCTCCTCTGGGGGATTGACTGGGGTGTCATAGATTTACACACATGGCTTGCTCTGCCAGAGTGCTTGTCATGTGACAACCTTGACTGGGCCTTGGGAGAGACCCTGAAGGGAGGCAGAAAGAGGCCATTCTTGGCTCCTGTGCTTGCTTTACTAAACCCCTCCTTTTCTTCCCATTTCAACATATGTTATAATATCCATTTTACCTCTTTAAAGAAAGATTTATTTATTTTTCTTCTGTGTTTATGAGTGTTTTACTTGTGTGTCTGTGTAACATATGCATGTCTGGTGTCCTTAGAGGTCTGAAGAGAGCATCAGATCCCCTAGGACCAGAGTGACAGAATGTTGTAAGCCTCTGTTGTAGGTGCTAGGACTCAAATTTGTGTCAGACTTTGCTTTTGAAGGCTAGCTGACAGGATAGGCTTGCTTTTGTCATTATATTCTGTGTGTCCTATTACAAATCCCCTTCATTTCTGCTTTATCATAATCTTTTGTATCATTGATCTATTTCCTTCTATTTTAATTTTATTTTTACTATTTTATGTGGATGTGTGTTTTGTCTGCATGTATGTCTGTATACCACATGTATGAGATGAGCCTCTCATGTGGGAACTGGAAATTGAACCTGCGTCATTTGCAAAAACAAGTGCTCTTATTCACCAAGCCAACTCACTAGTTCCTTACTCTATTTTTAAGCCAAATATTTGAGTTCCTGTCTCACTTTCTCTTGTATGTATTCTATATCTGTCTTAATTGTTTGTTAGTGGTGTGGTTACCATGGGGTCACATACAACATTCCAAAGTTGTGACAGATTTGAATTGATTCCAGTTTCACTTCAGCAGCCTGCAAATTATGTTCCTTTTATGCCTCTGAAGCCATTTTATTTGTCCCTGACACCAAAAAAAAAAAAAAAAAAAGTATCTTTGTGTGTTGTATGTTTAAAACTAGTACATTTAAAAATGCATTAGTTGTTTTCTTACACTAGAAAGTAGTTTCATTGTACATAGTACAGTGGGGTTTATTAGTTCATCCATGTTGGACTATGTTGAGCAGAATGAATGCTTATATTCATATCTTCTGGAAAATGTGAGTTTCAGCAGTTAGAGTACCTATCTGTTTTCTTGTTTTGAGCCATGATCTCAAATTAGTCTGGGTGGCCTAGAACTCACTGGATATCTTGATATGCCATTGACCTCTCGACAGTCATCTTTTGTCAGGCTAGCATGAGCTGGGATTGTGGGTATCACCAGTAGGCCCAGCTGAGTTTCCTATTTGTTTATTGGTATTTTCCTGATGATAGTACCATTTCCTTGATTTTGCTGCATCTTTAGTTCTTAGTGCATCCTTAAAATAGTTGTCTTAAAGTCTCTGTTTTTTGTTTGTTTGTTTCTGTGAAGGCGTTTACATAGTAAACAATGACATAAGGAGTCCTCTTCATGATACTAGTAGACACATAGGATAATACCCTCAGTCTTGCTTTGACTTCATACCTTGATGGGCAGGGCTCTGAAGGCTAGTTGAACCCCGGGTCCAGGAGTCCACTTTCCTCCTGTGGTCCAGATTATGATAGGTCAGACAGCACAGCTCCTTTATACTTCTGTTCCATGCCCTGGGCAACCAGCAGAAGAGCATGAGCCTTGGACTTACCTCCATGAGCCCTGCTATCCCAGGCCAAGCAGCAGGTAGATTCATGCATACAGGCCATGGTATCACTACATAGACACCAATCATGTACTTTCTCTGAGGTTGTATTCAGGCTGGTGACTTATCTCTGTTCTATTTTCCCGAGGCCATTTCTATAGGTTTATCTTCAGACTCCTCTTTGTTGCCATCTGCCATCACACCTATACTGGTATAGTTTATTTCTTTACCTTTGACTGAGACAAATATTGCTGTTTCTTTCAATGTTCCAGAACTCACTATGTAAACCAGGCTGGCCTCCAACTCAGAGATCCATCTGTCTCTGCTTTTCAAGTGCTAAAAGTTGTTTGCTTATGTTTGTTTGTTTATATGGTTGGTTATTTAGTTGGTTGGTTGTTGGTTGGTGTCTTAGGGTTACTATTGCTATGATGAAACACCATGACCAAAGCAACTTGGGGAGGAAAGGGTTTATTTGGGTTATACTTCATATCAGAGTTCATCATCATAGGAACTCGGGGCAAGAACCTGAAGACAGGAGCTAATGCAGAGACCAAGAGGAATGCTGCTTTATGGCTTGCTTTCCATGACTTTCTCATTCTGCTTTCTTATAGAACCCAGGGCCACCAGACCAGGGATGTCACCACCTATAGTGAATCTTCCTCTGTACTGCCAGTTCACAAAAAAAACATAATGGAGACTTATTATTAATTATAAAAGATTGGACTGTAGCTTAGGCTTGTCCCACTAGCTCCTATAACTTACATTAACACACTTTTTCATCTATGTGTTGCCATGTGTGTTACTGCTTTTACTTGACCTCCTTTATGTCTTGCTCCCTCTATGTCCAGCTCACAACTCCACCTGGCAACTCTACCTTTCTTCTTCCCAGAGCTCTTTGTCACGAAGTCCCTGCTATACCTCCTGCCTAGCTATTGGCCATTTAGGTTTTTATTGAACCAGTCACAGTGACGTATCCCTACATAGTGTAATCCTATATCCCACAACATTTCCCCCTTTTGTGTAAATAAAAAGGAAAGGGTTTTAACTCTAACATAGTAGAACTATATGCAATAAGGACAATTCTCAGGTGAGAATTATATTTACAATGTTCAATCCATTTGCATTTGACAAATTCAGAGTAAATACTCCATTATAAATGCTATCTTGGCGAGTCTAAAGTTTTGTACCTAATTTACCTTCTATCACAACTAATGAGAACTGTAACTATGATTACCTAGTCTTCAACCCCATCGAAGACCCCAGAAGGGTATAATATTACCTAAGTAAACAGGAAGTGCAGAGCAAGTAACTTCCAAAACTAAGAAATGACAGAGATACGTACGTGCCTGCTTGAATAGTCACGCCCAGGTTTCTTCTGTAACATTGGGGGGCATCTATCTTCAGTCTATGGCCTAAAACATCTGACAGACTTTTCTGTGAAGCAGGAATTTTGAAGGACTGTCCTACCTTGTCTTGACAAAGTTCAGCAGTTGCCTTGTTTCATGTCCTGTTGTCCAATTTAGACAGCATACTGTTAGCAGTTAAGGCAAGGGCAGTTTCTTGCACAGTGGCTAACATTGCTACGATGAAAACAAGCTCCATATGGAGGTTCTTTGATGCCCATCATCCTTTTTGAAGTAAATTGGTGCTGCCAGGAGCAGATATGTCTCACTGTCCTGAAAGCCTTATGTTATTAAAACATTTTATAAGCCAGGCGTTGGTGGCACACACCTTTAATCCCTGCACTCGGGAGGCAGAGGCAGGCGGATCTCTATGAGTTCAAGGCCAGCCTGGTCTCCAGAGCGAGTGTCAGGAAAGGCTCCAAAGCTACACAGAGAAACCCTGTCTCAAAAAACCAAGAAAAAAAATATATATATAACTGACTATTCTGTAGGTATCAGAAGACCAACTGTGTATCTGAAATATATCTCAGTTTGACCTTGAAAACATATTTAACATGCTACAGATTTGATTGTTATAGGTGATTTACTACTAACCTGCATTTTTTCCCTAAATAATTTGTAATTATGACTTTCAAGGACTAGAAATTTATGTTACATTGTTAAATGAGCTGCATAGGTACAATACTTTGAATGAGTATAAACATATGTAGAGCATGTTCTAAAAAAAATACTTAACTTTGTCTGAATATATAAAATTCCATACCAATGTAAGATATTTAAGACTAAGCCAAGCATTGGTAGCATACACCTTTATTTAGTCCTAGCATATTGGGAGGCAGAGGCAGGTGGACCTCTGTGAGCTCAAGACCAGCCTAGTCTACAAGAGCTAAATCCAGGACAGCCTCCAAAGCCACAGAGAAACCCTATCTCGAAAACCCAAAAAAGGGAGAAAAAAAAAAGACTAGTGGCTTTTAAAAAGTAAACTAAAAAATCTACTCTTTTATCCCATCATTTCTATGCTATACTTTCTATACATTTCCTAAAATTTTGATCTCTTTCCTTCAGAAAGAGATCCCTGAATCTAATCTCCTTTGTTTAGCTTTTTCCCTTATGGTGACCAGTGTCAACTTGTGACCACCACACCAAACCCCCAAGCTGGAGGTGATGACATCTTTAGGGGACCCTGAGAAAACTGGTTAATAGTTAAGTCCTGGGAGAGCTAGCTGTTGTCCAGTCTTGGTGTGATGGGATAATGCAAGGCTTATCTGAAGTCCTGGCTGGAATAACCTGTGAAGCTGAACCATCTCAGCCAGCATCCTTGAAGCTGTTTGAATGTAGAACTCTGAGGAAACTGCAACAGAGGCACTCTATGAGGCTGGATCACCTGGGCCACCTGTTTTCATTGTTGTGTTCCCCTTGCACTGAAAACACAAACTTTCAAAAGCAACATACATATCTATATTAACACAAGTATGGATTATGCCTTGTATACAAGCCAGCCAAAGATGATGTTTTGTTTTATGCTTAAGCAGACAAAATATATATATCACCTGCCCTGTAGATTTTTTCTTTTTTAGTTTTTTGTTTTTTGTCCCGTCCCCCGGGTGTTTTGGGTTTTTGGGGGGAGGGGGTCGAGACAGGGTTTCTCTGTGGCTTTGGAGGCTGTCCTGGAACTCGCTCTTGTAGACCAGGCTGGTCTTGAACTCACAGAGATCTGCCTGCCTCTACCTCCCGAGTGCTGGGATTAAAGGTGATCGCCACCACTGCCTGGCATTTTTTTAGTTTTCTTTGTTTGTTTGTTTTGATTCTGGCTACAGACAAAAAGAAACTCTGATCACTATCAAACTTCAGTGAATCCACAGTCTTCAATTTCCTATAGAAACAAAAGCATAACCTCTTCTCCAACGCAGTATATTTTTCGATTTCCTTATTGAAGAAATTTTAAAAATACATACGTTGATTTAATTTATCAGTTTACTTAACCCAGTGTCTCTCAGCAGCTATCATTGTCAGCAATCAAAAACTTCAAAGGCAACACGACACCATGTAGGATCCAGATTCTATTTTCCATCTTTATGTGGCTTATCATTTCTTAAATTTTTATTAATTAATTAATGGGGGGACAGGGTTTCTCTGTGTGTTCGGAGGCTGTCCTGGAACTAACTCTTGTAGACCAGGCTGGTCTCAAACTCAGAGATCCGCCTGCCTCTGGCTCCCAAGTGCTGGGATTAAAGGCATGCGCTGCCACCACGACCCAGCTATTGATTTATTTTTTACATTCCAATCCAGTTCACTCTCCCTCCCTCTTCTTCCACTCCCCCCACCCCTCATTCCATTTGCTCCTTGGAGAAGGTAAGGCCTCCCCCAGGAAGTTTACTCAAGATACCACTCCACCCTTTCCCTAGGCTAAGCAAGGTATCTGTCCATGTAGAATGGGCTCTACAGGGTTAGTTTGTGCATTAGAGTTAGATCTTGGACCATTGCCAGTGGCCTCATATATTGCCCCAGCCACACCATTGTCACCTATATTCAGGGAGTCCACTTCAGTGTTCTGCAGGTTCCTGAGTTGTCAGAGTCATTGATTCCTCACCAGCTTGAGTCAGCTGATTCTGTGGGTTTCCCCTTATTGGTCTTGACTTCTTGGTTCATATTATCCATTCTCCCTCAGTTTGATTGTACTCCAGGAGGTCAGCCCAGTGGTTAGTTGTGAATTTCTGCATCTCCTTACATCTGTTTCTGGAAGAGGGTTCTGGCTTCCCTGGAGTTGTGGATTGTAGGCTGGGTATCTTTTGCTTTATGTCTGGTATCCACTTATGAGTGAGTACAATACTATATTTGTCTTTCTGGGTCTGGGTTACCTCACTCAGGATGTTTTTTTCTAGTTCTGTCCATTGCCTGCAAATTTCAGGATGTCATTGTTTCTTAGTGTTGAGTAGTACTCCATTGTGTAAATGTACCTCATTTCTTTATCCATTCTTCAGTTGAGGGGCATCAAGGTTGTTTCTAAGTTCTAACTATTATGAATAACCTTGATATGAACATAGTTGAACAAATGTCCTTGTAGTCTTGAGTGTAACTTCTTTGGGTATATGCCCAAAAGTGGTATTGCAGGGTTTTGAGGTAGGTTGAGTCCCAATTTTCTGAGAAATCGCCATACTGATTTCCAAATCAGCTGTACAAGTTTGCACCAGCAGTGGAAGAGTGTTTCCCTTACTCCACATTCCTCTCCAACATAAGCTATCATCAGTGTTTTTGATCTTAGCCTTTCTAATCTGTGTAAAATATTATCTCAGAGATATTTTGATTTGCATTTCCCTGATGACTAAGGATGCTGAGCATTTAAGTGTCTTTCCGCCATTTGAGATTGTTCTGTAACAATTCTCTGTTTAGATCTGTACCCCATTTTTTAATTGGATTATTTGGTAGTTTGATGTCTAATTTCTTGCATTCTTTGTGTATTTTGGTGATCAGCCCTATAGCAGATGTTGGGTTGGTGAAGATCTTTTCTCATTCTATAGGCAGCAGTTTTTCTTTTATTTACAGTGTCCTTTGCTTTATAGAAGCTTCTAGTTTCAGGAGGTCCCATTCATTGAATTATTTTATTCTCTGTTTAAAGACTTTTATTGTTTTTAAACTAATTTTTATGTCTCTCAATTCATATATTCTTTTCATACCTTATCAGAGGTTTTATGTGTCTGGACCTGGCTTTACTAAGCATTCTCTGATCAAGTGAGACAAATCTTAAACTGTTATGTTAGCCTCTGCAAGACTCAGCTTAGCTCATGGCACTGGTGGCTGGTCATGTTATGTGTGTCGTGTGACAGTCCCCCGTCCCTATCCCCCACTCCAAAGAAAGCAGCAGCCAGTATTCACACCTCTGTATGACACTGAGTACAAGCCTACCTGAGAGACTGCAAGAATAGGAAGCTACATCTGGCTACTTGTCCAGAACTTTCCTTAGCTTTCTCAGGCCCTATGTTTGGATATTTCAGCCTCCACATGGGCTGGACCCTCCCTCCATCAGTCACTAATTAAGAAAATGCTCTACAGTCTTGCTTACAGCTGCCATCTTATGGAATCATTTCCTTATTTGAGATTCCCTCCTCTCAGATGATTTTAGCTTGTGCCATGTTGACATAAAACTATCCAGCACTGTTGGTTGGTTGCTTTTTCTTAGACAGGGTCTCCCTCTGCCTCTGCCTCTGCCTCCATGTTCTGGTATTAAAGGCTTGTGCCACCTTGCTTGGTCTTGTTTATTTATTTATTTATTTTTATTGGTTCAAATTAGGAACAAGCTTATTTCACATGTCAGTCCCTTCTCCCACTCCCTCCCCTCACCCCCTTCCCTCCTCATCTACCCTCCACTCCCCAGGCAGGGTAGGGCGCTCAACGGGGGCTTCGAAAAGTCCACCACATCATCCTGGGCTAGGCCTGGGCCCTTCCCCATGTGTCTAGGGCAAGAGTGCATCCCTTCACGTGGGATGGGCTCTCAAAGTCCTTTCTTACACCAGGGAAAAATACTAATCCACTCCCAGGGGCCCCCTGTAGAGCAGAGGCCTCCTTATTGACATCCATGTTCAGGGGTCTGGATCAGTCCTGTATTGGCCTCCCAGATACCATCTGGGGTCAATGTGCTCCCCCTGGTCTTGATTATGTTTAACTTGAATGTTTGTCATGATTCTGAGATCAGACCCTTCTGCAGGGCTTACTGTGACTGTGTCATGAGTGTTGGTGTTGTCTATGCTGACAGTTGGCCTGGCACATCCTCCCAGGCCAAATCTAAGTCTGCATGTCTCTGGGAACCTGCAGTTACTTTCTAGCTTCCCCCGTGTATGTATTTAATTGCTTGAATGCCTGCAACCTTAAATATCTAGCTTCTAAGAGAGGAAAAGAAGAAACAGAAGTGTGCGTAAGTGCCCTGGCCCTTACATTGTCTAAAAGACACCCTAACCAGAGTGATGTTCAATCTCAGTGGCTTGGCTGCTGTATCCCACTGGGGCTACAAACAGCATCGAGAGCACAGGTCTTTGATGATTGGGGGATAAGTCTTTTCACCTGTAAACTGCTCTGGAATCCATAATAACTGATTGTCTAGAGGCAAGGGTAGGCAGCTTATGCTGTGCCAACCGCTACATTGACCAGAATTAACCAGTTTGTTATCCAACCCTCCCCTGGAACTCAAAGACCCTCAACTGATTCCAGAGTTCCACACTAATTGCATAACACAGGGCAAGTTGATGTTGAAGTGCTCCCTAGCATTTCTCTTTCCACCATCTTCCTAGAATTTTTCCACACCTTGGCCTCTGCAACCAGTGAAGATCATTCTAGAGGGTCCTCTGGCCAGCTGATAACCTCCAGCTTGGAGCTTTTTCCAAATGAGCTTTTGTCCTGTGATGTTGAAAGTTTTAATACCATGTGGGTTTGTAACACCCTGGCAGTTATACATAGGGTGGAGCCATGTTGGGAAGGCTACTCCCAGCAACTTCTCTGCTCTGTTTTGTGTGTACAGTCTCTGCACATCACCGTACCATGAGGGAGGACTACAGTGATAAGGGAAAGGTTGGCCACTGGAGCCGCAGCCCTCTACGGCCACCACGGGAGCGCTTTGAGCTGGGAGACAACCGTAAGCCAGGTGAGGCCAGGGAAGGTTGGAGTATCTTTCCTGGAAAACACACACACACACACACACACACACACACACACACACACACACGAACGAAAGTGTCATAATGCAACCTGTTATTTTGTATTATATGCTAGCCTAAAGTTTATTTTTGGAATGGGTTGAGGGGGAAAACAGTTTATGAAATTAAGGAAAACCTTCCCAAGCAATCTCTTTTCCATAATAAAATCTGGTGAGCCTGAAGATTGCCAAAATGCAAAATGTGCTGACCTAAGTTTGATGCCTGGGACCCAAATGACAGAAGGAGAAACTCAATTACACAGATTGTCCTCTGACTTCCTCACAAGCTCCCATTAAGGCATGTGTTTCTTAACTAAGATACTTGTTGCTGATTTTTTTTGGGGGGGGGGAGGAACTCTTTCAGTTAAAATAAGTGTGGATGGCCAGGCGGTGGTGTGCATGCCTTTAACCCCAACACTTGGGAGGCAGAGGCTGGCAGATCTCTGTGAGTTCAAGGCCAGCGTGGTCTACAGAGTGAGTTCCAGGGCAGCCAAGACTGTCCCACAAAGAAACTCTGTCTCAAAAAAACAAAAACAAACAAACAAAATATTTGTGGATGGACTGTTTGACATACACAGTGAAACTGATCATTGTGTAAGCTGCATGTTAACTTTTGGGTGGTTTTGTCTTGTTTGTTTAAGAACATTTTCCCATGGTTGAGAATAGATTGCCTGCTCAATGTTTGATCCCAAGCACCACATTAAATGTATGTTATACATATATTAGAGTAGGTCTAGAGTCCCAGTCTTCATGAGTTAGAAACAGGAGGATCAGAAGTTCAATGTCATTGTCTGCTACATAGTAAGCTTTAGGCCAGCCTGGGTTATGTGAAACCCCATCTCAAAAAAGAAAAAATAAGAACTGGAAAAGAAAAACTAAGCTGGATCAGCAGTTACGAACACTTTCTGCTCTTGTAGAGGACCTGAATTCCGATCCCAGCACTCACATGGCAGCTCACAACTATTCGTGATTCCAGTTCCAGGGGTCCACCACCCGTCCTCTTCTGGTCTCAGGAGGCACCAGAGACACACATGATGTACATACATGCAGGCAAATACTCATAGTTAAAAATCAGTAAGTGAAGTAATTGTAGAAAGCAACAATAATTTTTCAAACATCTCCCCAAATTCAGCTCTGTATGGTTTATTTCAAAGTAAAAGAAGAGAAAATGGAAGAACGAGACCTTCTGTCAGACCTACAGGACATCAGTGACAGTGAGAGGAAAACTAGCTCAGCCGAGTCTTCATCAGGTATCTGAGGTCACCTGGCTGAGACTTGGATGCTGCTGCCAGAGGCAAGCAAAGATTTACCTTGTGACTGTTTTGTTCTGTAGCAGAATCAGGCTCAGGTTCTGAGGAGGAGGAGGAGGAAGAAGAGGAAGAGGAAGAAGAGGAAGAAGGGAGCACCAGTGAAGAATCAGAGGAGGAGGAGGAGGAGGAAGAAGAGGAAGAGGAAGAAGAGGAAGAAGGGAGCACCAGTGAAGAATCAGAGGAGGAGGAGGAGGAGGAAGAAGAGGAAGAGGAAGA